AAATAAGTGATATATTTTTTCAAACAATCAAGTGGGAAGTACGTTCAAGAAACAAACCAGCTGTTGCCTCCCGCAGCTTCTTTTTTTGTTTGGAATAATCATGGCATTGAAGCTGAGAGGGCCGTGACGTCAGGTGATCTAAAAGATAAAATAAATCACAATAAATCATTCAAAACATTTTCCAGCTTCTCTGTGACATATCTAGAGAAATTCTCTTATAATTACAGTATGTTGTATGTATGCAGCATGACTCGGGCTAACTGCTGTACCCGTTGTCTCTCAAAAGGACTCGAAGCAGGTGGTGGAGTCCTACAAGTCCGGCTTTGAGCCCCCAGGCGACGTGGAGTTTGAGGACTACGGTCAGGCCATGAAGAGGACGGTGTCTGAGACCAGCTTGTCCAACTCTAGAGAGGGCAAAGAGAAACCTGCTGGCAAGAGCAAAGGCAAACTGTGGCCTTTCATCAAGAACAAGAACAAGGTAACACACATGGACGAACACCGAGCTAGAGTTTGATTTAGTTGCGCTGGTGTTAGTGTTTCCCACTCACACGGAGGCCACCGTGCTCCTACAGGAAGGATCTAAAACATTATTATACATCATAAAATAATAATAATGTTAGATTTGTGTTTTTCATCATGTTTGATTTACTCATTTTTTTCTACTTCTGTTAAACTGAAGAAATTTGTTAGTTTTCTAGTGTTGCCATCTTTGTTGTTATTATTTGCCACCCGTTTCCTCCCCCCCACCTGCAATCACCTGCACTGATTCTGGAGCCCCTCCTCTGTAACAGACACTAATGTATCCTCCCTTCACTGTGTGGGCGGAGTCACGTGGCTGTCGGATCTGAAGTAACACACCTCTTTTGTCGATTTTTTTTCCCACTGAGCGGTGATCGGCCTGGAGCTGGTTCCTGATCTCTGAACAAACTGATCTCTGGCTGTGTAATGGGCTTGTGGTGCTGTTGAATTAGATGAGAAAATGCGTGTGTGTGTGTGTGCTGATTATAATGAGTGTGTAGATGTAGATGAGAAACTTTAGCAGCAACAGAACTAAACTAACAATAAAGGTTAGACGCTCACAGAGAAGAAAGCATGCGATGCTAACAATGCAAGCAGAACTGGAGTTTCTGTCTTTTTTCCTCTGAAAATCCAGGTGTGTGACCCACCTGTCCATGCATGTTCATTGTGTGGTATTCTAGAACTCATCACTGCTTCATTCTGTCACCTCCTAGTTGTTGGGTGTTTCTGAGGCTTTAGGAGCAGTGAGAAGCAGTTAGACCTGTCTGCTGATGACCTCAGACTATCTGCAGGGATCTGGTGAATTTATCGTCTTAGTTGAGAGAAAAAAGATCAGTAAAACTGAATCCGGCATGCGCTTTGACTCCACCGCTCTGCTGTTGGCTTTAACACGTTTGGTGCTTCCTTCTCACTGTGGTTCTTTAATTTTTTTAACGCTATTTTGTTTTATATGTTTAACAGTATTTTCCCCTCTTCACAACAAACAGTACTCATACACTAGGTTTGGCATTCCGTTGATTGTCTTTTATGTTCGTTTTGTGTTTTCTGTTGTGTGTTTATTTTTTTAATATTTGTAGGAGGCTTATTTATTTCATTTTTGTTCCCTCCTCCTTTTTCTCCTTTGTCTTTTTTATTTTCTTTGGATTCTCGCCCCTTTCTTCTTCTTCTTCTGTGTTTTTCGTCCTTCTTCTCGGCTCCCTCTCATACTGGTAGCTTATGTCCTTGTTAACATCCCCCCATCAGCCCCCACCTGCCCCCCCAGCCTCGTCCTTGCCCTCACCCTCTGCTGTTCCCAATGACCCCCAGTCTCCCAAGCAGCACAAGGAGCCCCTCTCCCACCGCCTCAACGACTTCATGGCCTCCAAACCCAAAATGCAGTGTCTCCGGAGCCTGAGGCGAGGGGTAAGTGTGTGTGTGTGTCCAGCCAGCTTTGTGCATGTGTTGATGAGTGTATGTGTGTGTGTGTGTGTTTTGTATGTGTGTACCTGTACCTGAGCTTTGCACCTGCTGCACTGTATGAGTGAAACAACAAAAACGACAGAATCCGAATGTCTTTAAAGGCATCATGTTAATTTAGCTTGTAGTCAAATAAAACAGCTATAATTTGCACGTTAGTTTCTCAGAAAGGCTAAAATAAAAAGTTTGAAATGATTTTCTTTGGTAAAACTCCACTCATACAGTTCAGCCTCTGTGCTTCTACGAATCTACGTCACTCATCTGACTCTGTCTCTTCATGGTGTCCCTTCGTTTGTAACTGTGCGCATGATGAATACCCCTTTTTTCACCCACCTTCCCTCTCTTTGACAAAAAAAACAACAACACCTGAGCAGCAGCATGGAGCCCGCAGTCGCTTCCTGTGCTCCTCCTCTCTGCTAGAGACAGATTATGTCAGCTCTGGTTTTGTTGCATGCAGTTTTAAGATAAAGAGCACAAAGAAAAAGATCACAACCTCGTGATATGAGTCAAGTGACGGATCTGGTGGGAAAAGGCCCAGGGGAGCACGTTTCGATGGCCTTTTGGAGGCTACTTTTATCAGCATCAGCACAGTGTCCTGCTTCATGTCATCACCAGTTCCTGTTTTTAGCTCCCAGTTTGGGTTGCAGTAGAGGGGCTGGTTGACAGTCGCTGGGGAAGGTCATACTTTCCCGTCATGCGGCCCCACCCTTCTCCCAGCTCTCTGTGACCTCCGGAATGGGCGGTCAGTCTCTGTGTTCCTTCCGGGCTAACTATTGTAGTTTTATGATTCAAAAGAGCAGCACAGCCTTGTTCTGAAAACCCACGTATGATCCGGGGGGCTAACATGATGCCTAAAAGAGCAACAGAACAAAAAAAAATTTTTTTTAACGAATCAACTGCGTGTGTGTGAGTTGACTGCAGAGGAAATGATTGTAGGGAGTGCAGAAAAGAGGGAAGTGTGCAGAGTTGTTTTTGTTCTGCTGCTGCACAGAACAACCACGTTTCTGAAAGCGGAAGTTCTGCAACAACTTTCTAAAAGATATTAAAAGCAGCGTTCGATGATAAATCACTAACATTGTTTTCAGCTGCACAGACTGTAAAAGGACTAAAGTTTGACCGTGATGTTACAGCAGGTAACACTAAGGTTAGAAACGATATCAAAGAGACTAGAGAATGCTCAATGACCTGAACTTATATAGCCAAGTGTGATTCACAATACAATCATTCAGCCACAGTGTTGTATAAAGTACCTCAAAGTGATACTTGAGTAAAAGTACAAGTATCTTTTCATAAAAATACTTTGGTAAAAGTTAAAGTCTTCTCTAAAAATATTACTTGAGTAAAAGTCTTAAAGATGTCGGAATTTTTTTGTACTTAAGTATCAAAAGTAAATTTCTGACAAAAGTATTAAAAGTAAAAGTACNCTTGAGTAAAAGTACAAGTATCTTTTCATAAAAATACTTTGGTAAAAGTTAAAGTCTTCTCTAAAAATATTACTTGAGTAAAAGTCTTAATGTGTCTGATATTTTTTGTACTTACTTATCAAAAGTAAATTTCTGACAGAAAATCTACTTAGCTATTAAAAGTAAAAGTACTGAGTAAAAGTGAGCAGTTAGATTTTCCAAAATGACATTTATTGGGAGGTGACTTCTCAAAAAATATTTTTTCTAACAGCGTGCAGCTGTGATGGGTTGTGTACAAAGTAATACGGTGTCAGAATGGTATATATTTATACTTCTCATCCAACCACAATTAAATTCACTCTATCTAGGAGACACATTTTATCAGGGTTGGGCCCCATCAAGGGTAGGGCCCTCTGATGATCCCCACCAAAATCTAATGGAAGGTCTTTAAATGTCTGGTGATGTTCTCTGCTGTTGGGTTTAACATCAGTTTTTACATTACAGTTGGTTTATTTTAGATTTTATTCACACGATAACACAGTTCAGGTCAAAAACTTAATGACTTTTTACTTTTCTGCGAAATATCTGACTTTTTTTTAACACTCCTGCTGCCCTTGGGTCAAAATGACCCTTCAGGGCATTGCGGGTCCTTTTGACCCAAAGAAAGGGTTAAACAAGATTAGGAACAGAAAATAAATTCTATAAAATATAAATTTAGATCCAAACAGACTCCTAAGTGTCCTTCACCTACAGTGAAGAAAAAATCTGATCATTTGTGGATGCTGATTTAAGTGAAACTGGCCTGAACATACCGTATTTATTCATATATAATACGATCTCAAGTATAATACGATCATCATTTTTGAGCTTAAAAAGCATAACAAATCTAATCACCAAAAACACGTGTATAATACGACCCCCCCTACTTTATGGATTATTTTTAGGGTTAAATTTCTAGTATTATACATGAATAAATACAGTAAGTGTGCTGCATTCTTGTACATGTCACATCATACAAATAATATATTCCTCTGAAAGAATTAGATTATCTAACTGTAAAACGTTTGTTTGCTGCACTCTCAAGAGAAGAATAAAACTCTTTATTAATGTTTTTTTGTGTTTACTCCCAGAAAAAAAATGAATGAAATTCTTTGTTTGCCAACTCCTGCAAAGACAGAGATAAGAGTTGTGCATGGTGCAAACGTGCTCGATGCAGACATGCACCTGCAGGAGAGCCTTTTGAGCTACGTGTTAGTTAAACTCCATTTTCTATCACTGTATTCTTGTATGTGTTTGTGATGCTGTGAGTGTGTGTGTGTGTGTTGAGGATGGAGGAGAAAGCCTCTGTGTTTAGGGAGAAACATTTAGCTTGTTTCTGAGCTCGCACTGACTGAGTTTTATCCTCTTCGCCGACGGCCGCAGCAACAATCCCCGCGCTCCCTCATTTATCACAGAGAGCTCATGAAGAGGACTCTGGGTCAACCCACATATGCTTTCGAAGCTCGACAATATGTCGTAAGTGTGTGTGTGATGGGAGACAGTGAGTATCACACCTGTGTGTGTGTGTGTTGCGTGAAGAGGGAATGGAAACAGGATGTGTGTGATTTGTAAAGTTAAGAACAGGCAGTAGCCTCTTCGTTGACGATGCGTTCAGTTTGTGTGCAGTTCTGATTAAAACATCCTCACAAAGGAGGCTAGTGTCTGGCTCCGTGTCGATCATGTGGTTGTGGAATCGAGACGAATGATCGGAGATGACTTCATCCTTCATCACATGTATCAGCTTGAGGTTTTTTCCGTGTCCTGCAGCTGTTTCAGGCCCCGCCACCCTGCTCTTCGTCTCTAAGGGGGTCAATTCACAAAGTGTCTCAAGCACCTGAGGATGTGGGAAATTGTGCATGAGAGGGTGAGATTTTCATCCCACCCCGGAGTCGTCCTATATGTATAATTGGGTGAGGTGTTAGTCACACTTTGGATCTGGGCTCAGTGTTGGAGAATTCACCCCTGCTGGGCTTTCTGTGTGCTGCTGTCCCATACCGTCTGTAAGAACCATAATATACCTGTGTATCTCTGTGTGTCCTGGTGGAAGAAACCAGGTACTATCACGCCAAGATTTAGCTCAAAACCTGCATATTTGCCACAGTTATGAACATTTTTGGGTTTTGCTGAGTTTGAAAACCACCTTTTATCAGGTTACCTTGCAGAAGTTACAGATATCTCATGAGATATTTTGCTAACAGTCTGACATACAAACAAAACAGGAGATTCCGTGATAGCTGGCCTTTCATGGCAGCAACAATAAGGAGTCACTTCCACTTCTTTGTTTGGATCTGAGAACATATGACGTAAAAAGTACTGCAAATAATACACATGCACATTGTTAAAAAACAATAAAATCTTAAAGGGACAGGAAGCCAGTGAAGTAAAGCCAACACTGTTCTGCTTTCTTGTTCCTGTTAAACGTTGAGTGGCGGCATCGGGTTCCGCTTGCAGACGACAAAGGGACGACTCTGTTCTTAGAAAACAATTACATTATTTTAATTCTCTTCAAATACAAGCATTTGTAACATTTTTAAATTTTAGTAAGAAAATAAGTCTTGCTGAAATTTACACCAAAAGTTTTAACATTATCTAAAATCTGGTATTCTGGATTCTCAACTAAATCCGTCATCGTAGACGAATGGATTATTTGTTTTTGTTCAAATCAAGAAAATAAATCTCATTAATTCCCGAATATGATTCAGTTTAAAGTTTCAAAAGGCTTAGTTTTTATTTTTGGGAATTATTAAATCGGATTATCTTTTGCAAAGCAGTGAAACAAAATGTTATATCCATTAAGCAAGGGCCCTAAAGGCAACATATGTATGGGGAAGAGAACAGAGCCTTGTGATGCGCCACATGTTATTGGAGCTGAAGCATAGGATTCATAACTGTGTTTCTGTCAAATATGAAATAAACCACTATAGTTGTCCCACTGATGTTACTAACAACTGATAGATGAAGAGACAAACTGATGTAGAATTAGGTTTTACAGAAATAAAGAGGGAAAAAACAAAACAAACAGCAAATGAAGAGATGTTCAGCTGCTGGTGGATCAGTTCTAATACTGACATGTTATGTTGTTACCAAGGTTCTCATGAAAAAAAACAACAACAAAAAAAGCAACATGGTTTATTTATTATCCACTATCTAAGTTAAATGAATTCAGCTTATGAGCTTTTTTGTGGGGTTTGTGTTTGACTCATTCCATATCTCTGCACAGTTAATTCAGTCTTTAATGCAAAATTGTGGATGTTTTTGATTTTTATTCTTCTACAAAAAGAGTTATTTCTGTATGTTAAAAATCTGTGGACAGATGATGATGTGTTGGTCTGGATGTTGGTTAGGACTGTAACAGACCAGACCAGGTTGATGACTCGATCAGTGACCCTGAGCCTCTAACAGGATTATCAGTCATCTGCTGCAGCTCAAACAGCCAGTGGTTGTTAACCTGTTCTCAGCTGTGCTCTTTGTATTCATAATGTAACTTTATCCTCTTGAAGCAAATCAACTTTAACCCTCCTGTTGTGTTCATTCCTCATTAACTACTTTTGTGTTCCTGGTGGAAAATGACCAACCCAGTACCGTATATCTGATTATAAATCTGTGATGCGTATCGTCATGATTATGACAAACATTTTTATATTGTAACCTGCCCATAACAATTATTTGAACAAATACAAACAATTATTTGAACAAATACAAAGGTCAGTCAA